GTTGATCGTGGCGTCGACTTGGCCCTGCACCAAAAGTCGCAGATCCTCCAAAATCTGAATCAAAACTGTCGTGTCGTGTGTGTCGTGTCAGAGAGGAATGGCATGAAACGTCAGAGAATGACAGAGGACGCACGCACCTTCTGTTTCGTCTTCTTGTCGGTGGCCCGCGGCGTCACCAGAGTGGTGATCGCCCGTAGCTCGCTTCTCTTTGCTGTTGAATGAGGTCAGCAGCTCCGAGTCGAGCTGCTCCAGCAGCTCGAGCATCTCCTCGTCGCGGCTGCTGAGTGGCCGCGGCGACTTGAGACCTGCGGTGGTGCCGACCGCGGGCGGCATCAGCCCCGACTGGGTCAGGGTCGGGCTGGCGGGCGCGGCCCGAGGCGATTTGGGAACCGTGAGATTTGCGCGAGGCGATCGGAAGGCCGATGCAGGCGGCGTCTGCGAGCGCGGCGACGTGTCGATCGCAACGCTACGCCGGTAATCGTTCACTCTGTACCCGTTCATTACATTAGATCTACGCCGTAACACGACACACGACACACGACACCACCGCACGCAACGACACGACACGACACAGTGAAGATCGTGATGGTACCCAGGGGTGACGGCTGTGCGTTTGTTGAGGGCCAGGTGCAGCGACGCGCGGCGCGGGTTGTTAGAGAGTTTGCGGCCCTGCGAGAGCTCCTGCCACACGTCGGGCGGGACGGTCGGTGGCGGCCCGCCACCAGCTCGCGGCGTCGCGGACGACTGGTCGTGGCCGACTGCGGAGTGCAGCGCGGCAGCGGCGGTGGGCGGGTGGAACGAAGAAGTCGGCCGTGTGGACGTGTGGCGAGGAGATGTGGAACATGATGAAGCGGGAGATGAGGAAGAAGGAGTCGAAAAGGAAGAGGGGAGAGGGGGCAGGACGTCGAGAAGGGCATCGAGCGCCGCTACGAAGATCTTGCGAGCCCCTCGAAATCGTACGGTGGCATTGGAGGATGTGGCTGTGGAGCCGTTGGAAGAAAGGCTGTTGTGGATGAGATCCTCGTTCACGGAAGATGGAGGCAGGCCGAGGGCAGCCAGGGAGATGGAGCCAGCATTGAGGCAACGATGGAGGCGCTTCGCGGTTATGCCCACCTCTGCAGCGCATGGCGACACGCGGGCATCATCTCCTTAGACAAAGATGAAGAGGAGGCGGAGAGGACCTGCACAAGCTGCCGCACGAGCAGCAGCACGTCTTTGACTTCATTCATCAACGCGCTGGCATCCACATCGTCGGGCGCCTTCTTCTGGAGAATGCCGCTCTTCAGCTCAGCCACTACACGCTGGATGTCGAGGCTCCATTTCTGCTCTGCAGTGAGGACCTCGACCGACGCCTCCTTCCTCTTCGTTCCTCCTCTTTCGAAATTGGCGAGTAGAATGTCCAATTCGCGAAATTTGTCCGCCATCGATTCTAATCTGTACAGCTAGCTACCTTCAAATCTTCAGATGGACCCAGAATTTGAACTTTGCAGCAAGTTGGTGGTGTGGCAACAGAAGGAGGTGATGTTCGATTCGAAGTTGGATTGGGTAAGGCCGAGGCGAAGTGAGATCTAGGCGCAACGGCCACGAAGTCTGGTCCTTTGTGCATGGGCCAATCACAATTCAGAGCACTATCAGATTGCGCCAGTCCGAATTCGAAACGACAGTTTCGTGTGATCCGCACACGAACCAAAAGCGGGTTGGTGAACCCTCAACCGAGCTCTAACCACAACGTCGTTCGCGCCCCGACTTGTCTTTGGGTTCGCCAGCCAGGGCAAGCAAGTAGCCGGCGCTGCTGGACGTGGTCCGCAGTGGGTCGTGAGTTCGCTGTGGCGATGAGTCCTCCGCTTCTTCTGCTTCGTCACCGTGTTGCTTGTGGTCTGACGGTGGTGGTCGCTTCGCTTCGGGCGATCGTCGCTCCACCACATCGCCCGCACCACTCGCGTCATCGTCATCGTCATCGCCATCGTCGTCGACTTCATCTTCGTGGATGTCACCGACGTCAGCTTGTGTGGTTGGTAGTGGCGGCGCTGGGGCTGGCGGCGAGGTCGCGGGCAGGTAGCAGTCGAGGTAGGCCACCACCTCGGCAAAGTCGGGTCGAAGCTCCGGGTCCTCATGCCAGCACGCTGCACGGGAGTCCAGTCATTCATTACCACCGCCGCTGTGCGTTGTGCTGCGTCATTCGTGTGGGCGGGAATGTTACCCATCATGAGTTCCTTCCACTTCTCGTCGAGGGTTTCGGGGAGCTGCGGCCGAAGCGAGTCTGTGGTGGACAGACACCGCACACGGGGTGGAGATAGTGGTATCAGATACTTCACATTCCACGGCCGTCTGCCGGCGCTCTCGGGATCACGGACGTGAGGGTGAGAGGGAGACGCACTGGTGATGGCGTAGGACGCGTAGATGTGGGGCTCCATGCCCTGATACGGATCCTCGCCTGTCATGAGCTCTGAATGTGACCGTGACCGTGACCGAGACCAAAGCCATACGTAGGTGTTTGAACAAATCAGAAGATGAGCTCGGCATATCGGCGTCAATGCCGTAAACGAGTGGCGTGTTGATGCTACGATACCGGCCAGGCAGATGGCGTAGCTGTAGACGTCGGCTTTCTCGGTGTAGGTCTGTCCAATGTAGACTTCGGGTGCCTGGAAGCACGCACCGTCACTCACATGTGAGCGCGAGCCAAGCCTGCGTAAAAGGACGAGAGGGAGCGTGTAACCATCCATGCCAGCGCGCCGACCGCACACGTCATCTTGCTCCCCGTCTCGTCCATGAAC